GTTTATTATTGTGTACCAGTCAGAAATGGTTCCCGTCTTGCATTGTTTCGCTCAAATTATACAATTTTTACATATATAGTCTTCTTCTGAGGCACCGTGAAATTTCTCAAATACGCTTAAATATCCAAAATTTAGTTAGATTTCTCAATCCAGCTATCACTGTTCCGTATCTTTTACTATCCAGTCACTGCTTAGGTTGGACATATTTTTATTCCATTTTCTCTTAGTAGTGACTACTAACTAGAACCTGGCACTAACACAGTTTGACAGTCGTGCCTTAGACGGACCAAACATCGGTGCACAAGTTGACCCGGTAAAACCCCGGGAAAATCTCTCCTCGGAATAAAGAGAATTCTATTGCAGATGACAAGCTAGTTAAGGATTTTCCCCATGGTGATAAGGTATCTTCCGGTAACTAGAGCTTGTCACGTGTCTATGTAATTATTACAACAAAAGCATATCCGTTTTAAAGGCATTGCAATCACATAACTTCCGGTAGCCACAAAAACACGAGGCCGAAGCTGTTGTAATAAATATCATTATATTTACTAAATGTCACAAAACATTAATATCTGTTAACGCCTACCAGCATTGAGGGGTCACACATGTACCATCACTTTGTGAGATGAGTAATTGTGGTCAGTACTGGGAGCGCCCATTACGTTCCGGAACTATTATAACGTCAACGGTTCCTCTATCTATGTACATTAGTCCGTCCCTACTTCAGTTCCACCGGAATCGGGCCATTGTGTACTTCCTCCGAAGAATTCTCTGTTGTTGACAGTGTGTGTCAGCTCTCTTCTCTATCATTCGCTGATAGTTTAATATACGAAATTCCATTATGTGCGATGTCCCACCCTCTCGCAATTTTTATTCGATTTACAGTAGCTGCTATTATTTTCGATGGTTCAAATGCTCGCTGTTTTACCAAACAGTTGAAGTAGCATTGAGGATAAAGGAAGTTCATATTCTATTACTACTGACTTCGTTCAGTACATCATTCTACATTCTATTGTTGGTGACTCTGTTCAGTACATCATTCTACATTCTATTGTCGGTGACTCTGTTCAGTACATCATTCTACATTCTATTGTCGGTGACTCTGTTCAGTACATCATTCTACATTCTATTGTCGGTGACTCTGTTCAGTACATCATTCTACATTCTATTGTCGGTGACTCTGTGTCGGTGACTCTGTTCAGTATATCATTCTACATTCTATTGTCGGTGACTCTGTTCAGTATATCATTCTACATTCTATTGTCGGTGACTCTGTTCAGTACATCATTCTACATTCTATTGTCGGTGACTGTTCAGTACATCATTCTACATTCTATTGTCGGTGACTCTGTTCAGTATATCATTCTACATTCTATTGTCGGTGACTCTGTTCAGTACATCATTCTACATTCTATTGTCGGTGACTCTGTTCAGTATATCATTCTACATTCTATTGTCGGTGACTCTGTGTTGGTGACTCTGTTCAGTATATCATTCTACATTCTATTGTCGGTGACTCTGTTCAGTACATCATTCTACATTCTATTGTCGGTGACTGTTCAGTACATCATTCTACATTCTATTGTCGGTGACTCTGTTCAGTACATCATTCTACATTCTATTGTCGGTGACTCTGTTCAGTACATCATTCTACATTCTATTGTCGGTGACTCTGTGTCGGTGACTCTGTTCAGTACATCATTCTACATTCTATTGTCGGTGACTCTGTTCAGTATATCATTCTACATTCTATTGTCGGTGACTCTGTGTTGGTGACTCTGTTCAGTACATCATTCTACATTCTATTGTCGGTGACTCTGTTCAGTATATCATTCTACATTCTATTGTCGGTGACTCTGTTCAGTATATCATTCTACATTCTATTGTCGGTGACTCTGTTCAGTACATCATTCTACATTCTATTGTCGGTGACTCTGTGTCGGTGACTCTGTTCAGTATATCATTCTACATTCTATTGTCGGTGACTCTGTTCAGTACATCATTCTACATTCTATTGTCGGTGACTCTGTGTTGGTGACTCTGTTCAGTACATCATTCTACATTCTATTGTCGGTGACTCTGTTCAGTATATCATTCTACATTCTATTGTCGGTGACTCTGTTCAGTATATCATTCTACATTCTATTGTCGGTGACTCTGTTCAGTATATCATTCTACATTCTATTGTCGGTGACTCTGTTCAGTATATCATTCTACATTCTATTGTCGGTGACTGTTCAGTATATCATTCTACATTCTATTGTCGGTGACTCTGTTCAGTACATCATCCTACATTCTATTGTCGGTGACTTGGTTCAGTATATCATTCCATAATCTGTTGCTACTGTCCATTATATCGCGGCTTCCGTTCACACCCGTTGTAGGAGTTTATATATAATACTATAACTACAATTTCCACAATATATATACAATATACTAAATAACTATTGTCTCACCTCGGGCTTCGATGACACGTTTCTAAAAATTCATTAATTTTTTTTGTTGGAAAAAATGACAAGAGAACCAGGCATTGAAGGGGTAATTTTACTACAATATCGATGCTCTCCATGTCGCTCAAATATCCATGTCAAAGGACTGATGTCGACAAATGTCAGCAGATTTTACAACAATAATTAGAATGTTTGTATCCCGAGGTCTGTTACATTGCAAATTTGCAAATTTCGTACAAAGGAAACAAATTACTTCCCAATGTATAGCATATTCAAAACTTTTGTTTCGTTTATTTCAACCTTATTACACAATTTGGTATCGTCCATTTCAAACAAACTTATTGCACAGTTTTGTAGAGTCCATTTCAAACGTATAACATAATTTTGTATAATTATTTTTAAACAAACTTATTACACAGTTTTGTAGAGTCCATTTCAAACGTATAACATAATTTTGTATAATTAATTTTAAACAAACTTATTACACAATTTGGTATTGTTCATTTTATTTCTGTACTCCTTACTTACCATTTTTATACTCCTTTCATGTTGTTTTCTTTATGTTTTGAGGTAAGAGGGCATTGCATAAGCCTGAAGGGTACATGGTGATACCAACAGAACACATACAAACACAACAAACACTGTAACAAAACGAACATGTGGATACCAACAGAACACATACAAACACAACAAACACTGTAACAAAACGAACATGTGGATACCAACAGAACACATACAAACACAACAAACACTGAAACAAAACGAACATGTGGATACCAACAGAACACATACAAAGACATACAAACACTGTAACAAAACGAACATGTGGATACCAACAGAACACATACAAAGACATACAAACACTGTAACAAAACGAACATGTGGATACCAACAGATGACATACAAAGACATACAAACACTGTAACAAAACGAACATGTGGATACCAACAGAACACATACAAACACAACAAACACTGAAACAAAACGAACATGTGGATACCAACAGAACACATACAAAGATATACAAACACTGTAACAAAACGAACATGTGGATACCAACAGAACACATACAAACACAACAAACACTGAAACAAAACGAACATGTGGATACCAACAGAACACATACAAACACAACAAACACTGTAACAAAACGAACATGTGGATACCAACAGAACACATACAAACACAACAAACACTGTAGCAAAACGAACATGTGGATACCAACAGAACACATACAAACACAACAAACACTGTAACAAACCAACATGTGGATACCAACAGAACACATACAAACACAACAAACACTGTAACAAAACGAACATGTGGATACCAACAGAACACATACAAACACAACAAACACTGTAACAAAACGAACATGTGGATACCAACAGAACACATACAAAGACATACAAACACTGTAACAAAACGAACATGTGGATACCAACAGAACACATACAAAGACATACAAACACTGTAACAAAACGAACATGTGGATACCAACAGAACACATACAAAGACATACAAACACTGTAACAAAACGAACATGTGGATACCAACAGAACACATACAAAGACAACAAACACTGTAACAAAACGAACATGTGGATACCAACAGAACACATACAAAGACATACAAACACTGTAACAAAACGAACATGTGGATACCAACAGAACACATACAAACACAACAAACACTGAAACAAAACGAACATGTGGATACCAACAGAACACATACAAACACAACAAACACTGAAACAAAACGAACATGTGGATACCAACAGAACACATACAAAGACATACAAACACTGTAACAAAACGAACATGTGGATACCAACAGAACACATACAATCACAACAAACACTGTAACAAAACGAACATGTGGATACCAACAGAACACATACAAAGACATACAAACACTGTAACAAAACGAACATGTGGATACCAACAGAACACATACAAACACAACAAACACTGTAACAAAACGAACATGTGGATACCAACAGAACACATACAAAGACATACAAACACTGTAACAAAACGAACATGTGGATACCAACAGAACACATACAAACACAACAAACACTGAAACAAAACGAACATGTGGATACCAACAGAACACATACAAACACAACAAACACTGAAACAAAACGAACATGTGGATACCAACAGAACACATACAAAGACATACAAACACTGTAACAAAACGAACATGTGGATACCAACAGAACACATACAAAGACAACAAACACTGTAACAAAACGAACATGTGGATACCAACAGAACACATACAATGACAACAAACACTGTAACAAAACGAACATGTGGATACCAACAGAACACATACAAAGACATACAAACACTGTAACAAAACGAACATGTGGATACCAACAGAACACATACAAACACAACAAACACTGTAACAAAACGAACATGAACACATACAAAGGATACCAACAGAACACATACAAAGACATACAAACACTGTAACAAAACGAACATGTGGATACCAACAGAACACATACAAAGACATACAAACACTGTAACAAAACGAACATGTGGATACCAACAGAACACATACAAAGACATACAAACACTGTAACAAAACGAACATGTGGATACCAACAGAACACATACAAACACAACAAACACTGTAACAAAACGAACATGTGGATACCAACAGAACACATACAAACACAACAAACACTGTAACAAAACGAACATGTGGATACCAACAGAACACATACAAACACAACAAACACTGTAACAAAACGAACATGTGGATACCAACAGAACACATACAAAGACATACAAACACTGTAACAAAACGAACATGTGGATACCAACAGAACACATACAAACACAACAAACACTGTAACAAAACGAACATGTGGATACCAACAGAACACATACAAACACAACAAACACTGTAACAAAACGAACATGTGGATACCAACAGAACACATACAAACACAACAAACACTGAAACAAAACGAACATGTGGATACCAACAGAACACATACAAACACAACAAACACTGTAACAAAACGAACATGTGGATACCAACAGAACACATACAAACACAACAAACACTGTAACAAAACGAACATGTGGATACCAACAGAACACATACAAAGACATACAAACACTGTAACAAAACGAACATGTGGATACCAACAGAACACATACAAACACAACAAACACTGTAACAAAACGAACATGTGGATACCAACAGAACACATACAAACACAAACACTAACAAAACGAACATGTGGATACCAACAGAACACATACAAAGACATACAAACACTGTAACAAAACGAACATGTGGATACCAACAGAACACATACAAACACAACAAACACTGTAACAAAACGAACATGTGGATACCAACAGAACACATACAAAGACATACAAACACTGTAACAAAACGAACATGTGGATACCAACAGAACACATACAAACACAACAAACACTGTAACAAAACGAACATGTGGATACCAACAGAACACATACAAACACAACAAACACTGAAACAAAACGAACATGTGGATACCAACAGAACACATACAAACACAACAAACACTGTAACAAAACGAACATGTGGATACCAACAGAACACATACAAAGACAACAAACACTGTAACAAAACGAACATGTGGATACCAACATTTTATTTATAGTCTTTAAACTGTTTGCATGACACCCGCTACATTTACTTGAACTGCTTTCATTCTGAGTTTATAACTATATGTACATTTATGAACCCGAATAGACATACGGTTTGTAAACACAACAGACTCTGTATTAACATATATGTTGGTTTCCATGGAGACGAACTCTCAACCAACCAAAAACAATTTCCTATACGATAATAGCTCATTATGTATCTATTTTGTCATGAGTTGTACATCCACTTCACATAACATGTTGCTACGAGTCCGTTAATTCCTTACAAACTTTATATACGTTCACGAATATAAATTCCGTCTATCATAGTTTATACCTTCCTGACACCACAACTGAGATCAGTGACATCAATGTCTTGAAGCCTGACTACTGGTCTTACAGAGCCTTGACTACTGGTCGTACAGAAGCTTGACTACTGGTCGTACAGAAGCTTGACTACTGGTCTTACAGAGCCTTGACTACTGGTCTTACAGAAGCTTGACTACTGGTCTTACAGAGCCTTGACTACTGGTCTTGCAGAAGCTTGACATGGTGGACTCTGGGTGCTACATGTTTGTACGAATTCAGTAAAAATGTTAAAACACAGGTTATATCGTAAATACCTTCAATTCCCCCTTTTGCTGACGAAGAGACAATACATCGCTTTGATTTGACAATACAATATAAACGTTATTTGTCCCCGCCTTGAAATCCGAAGGTACCGTCGAAATTTCGACTGTTTTGTGTCACACTACATAAAGAACGATTTCTGAAATGAAGAGAATACGATTATCGTGTATGTAACACCGCTTTGAATCCATCTTTACAGCTCTGTCTAAACTTTGGATCTAGAAAGCCATAGATGATAGGATTGGCCACGTTGTTGATGAATATGGAGCGCGTGACAATTGGAAGTACGGCCGATACGATTGGTCCTGGTTTGGCGACGAATCCTCCCTTCACTGCAGTCATCAAAGAGAGTACTAAATGGGGGAGATAACTCAGAACAAACACTAAACTGATCGTAAAACTTATCCTCGTTATCTTTGCTGTTCGTTTCCTATCAGCATGCGGTATAGTTGGACTTTTCTTTATGGACCGATCCAAGTTCTTTGTCGTAGATTTCGTGACTTCCGGTTGCGTTGCTGGTGACGTCACTTCAGTTTCGTCCGTTCCTAGTTTAGTGGTTCCATTTGAAGAAGTTGTTTCAGATTCTTGTGTTTCTGATGATGACGTCATTACAAATTTAACTTCTTGTAAACTCATTTCTTTGTTTCCGTTTTTTTCACTACTCTGATTTCTACTATGATTAGAAATTGACGATGTTTGAGTTAGTGAACCACTGTATGTGGAAGATTGAAAACGCTCACGAAACTTGCTGTGTTTATAAATCTTTCTAGCGATTAGCGAGTACACAACAATGAGAAGGACGATAACTATGAGAAATATGATGAACAACACACCCCCATATGCAATCGGGTATATTGTCTTCGCGAATTGATCTGACAAAGAGCAGTCTGAACCAGTGATGTTGTATTTTAATGTTACTTTTCTGATTCCACTTATGGCAAAATTCGGCAACGCAAATAAAAATGACACGACCAGACATCCCAAACAGGAGAACAGACTCACGCGCTTGGTCATCTGCGGTCGTAAAGGTCGACACACCCGTTTGTACCGGTCGATCGACATACAGACGATCGTGAAAATTGAACCAAGAGATAAGAAATTATTGTTTGCTCTGAATATTTTGCACGCGATCACGTTGTAAAATGTGTACTGGAATCTCATTTCGAGAATTTCAAATGGCAGTGACACCAGACAGATAACCAAGTCCACAGCGGCCAGGCTTAAGATGAATGTCCTGTGAGTAGATCCGGAGAAGGATCGAAAGTAAACAGCAAGCACAAGGAGGTTACCAGGGATACCGATGACCATGAGAATCACGAGATAAATAACCGGTGCCAGGCGACGGTAAAACTCCGCGTCGTTCAGTTGTTGCAGCGTCATGAATGACGTATTCGTGAAATCAGTTGCCCTACGCGTCGTGACGTCAGTTACCATTCTTGTGACTTCCGTACTGTTCGCTCCTGTTTCACTTGTAACCATCGCCATCTTGTTACTTGTTGTTTTTGGAACCACTGTGAGGAGAGTTTTCACGCTATTCTGTTTATATGCATTATGTCAGCATCCAAGTTTATTTATAACAATGATAGTAGAAGCCCGTGTTCGTCTTAGCTTTCTCTGTAAACTAGGGAGTTCCCTGGCCGATCTTCCGCTGGAGATCCAACATTCCAAGCAAAAAGCAGCAGACTCCAGAAAAACCACTGCATTATAGTACTTTCACCGATTTGCTTTATATCGTGGTTTTCCTATGATTGGTCAGTATGTTGAAGTGTCGGTAACCCATTGGCTCTTCCGATTTGTTATACAATTTATTCTGGATCATGCTACTTAACAGCTGTATCCGGCTTCTCGCAATAAGGGTCGGACAACGCTTCAACGTTTACTGACAAGAGAGTGACGCACAACAAGCTGTTGGGAGTTATGGTAGCCAGTTAGTGCGATCGTTTGCTGAAAGTCAGAGGGCGTTATAACAGATAAAAATATGTATAAAGATTGTAACACAAAGCTACAAGGTACTAGTAGTTACGAGGACCAACAAGAACTTATATAGATATAAATTTTCATATGGTACAAAAAGGTATGAAAATTCATTATTTTGTGTACCATGGAAAATTGTACCATGAAACAAGAAGATAAGAAAATTCCTATCAGGTCCCTGTCGGCCCTCGATGTTAGCTGTAGATGTACACATTTTTCATGCCTAGGGACACGATTACTGTTCGTTTACATACACATGTAATTTTTTTTATAAGAAATAGATACGTTTCTCAAAATCATTCTTTATATGTAACATCTTGCGGTAGATCGAACAAGCACATAACGACTTTTTGTTAGGTGTTGTAAATCGTACAAGTTCGAAATGTTTTGTAGCAGTGTTTTTTTCATTTCTCTCTTTTATTTTTAATTCTGTGGGTTTTTTTTTTTTTAATTTTATTTATTTATTTTTTTTGCTTGGGTTTTTTTAGTTATTTCATGGATATTTCGCTCCGTAAACAGTCAGGGTCATTTTGAGACAGGGTATCCTTGTAATAGCTGGCGTCTACCTTACGGAACAACATACGGAAGGCCCCTCCCATGCCAACAAAAGGGTAAAATGTCGTGCACGAGGATACAACCACAACAGCACAGATCAGTCTTTGACTCATCTTTCAAAGAAACACAAATCGACACGGATATGGGGTTGCGAACCACACAATTCACATCTTAATTTCAAGTTGACCATGTACGTAAGCCAACGCTTTAAAAGTATAAGTTATAAAATCCCTCCTCCTCCCCTAACGCAATGGATGACAGTTATCTCAAGATATACCAATGCAAAATAGTTTACATGACAATAAAACTATAGCTAGTGAGAATCACAGGTGTACCTTAATTCTAGTAAGAATCATAGGTGTACCTTAATTCTAGTAAGAATTACATGTGTACCTTAATTCTAGTAAGAATTACATGTGTACCTTAATTCTACTAAAAACTACACCTGTACCTTAACTCTGGTAAGAATTAAACCTGTACCTTATCTCTGGTAAGAATTGCATGTGTACATTCATTCTAGTAAGACTTACACCTGTACCTTACTCAAGTAATAATAACAGGTATACCTTAACTAAAGTACGAATCATATGTGTACCTTAATTCGAGTAAGAATTACAGGCGTACCTTAACTCAAGTACGAATTACACGTGTACCTTATCTCTGGTAAGAATTACAGGTGTACCTTAACTCTGGTAAGAATTACAGGTGTACCTTAACTCTGGTAAGAATTACAGGTGTACCTTAACTCTGGTAAGAATTACAGGTGTATCTTAACTCGAGTAAGAATTACACGTGTACCTTATCTCAAGTAAAAATTACATCTTTACCTTAACTCTGGTAAGAATTACAGGTGTACCTTAACTCTGGTAAGAATTACACGTGTACCTTAACTCTGGTATAGCTTATCTCTGGTAAGAATTACAGGTGTACCTTAACTCTGGTAAGAATTACAGGTGTACCTTAACTCTGGTAAGAATTTCATGTGTACCTTAACTCTGGTAAGAATTACAGGTGTATCTTTACTCTGGTAAGAATTACAGGCGTACCTTAACTCTGGTAAGAATTACAGGTGTATCTTAACTCTGGTAAGAATTACAGGTGTACCTTAACTCTGGTAAGAATTACAGGTGTACCTTAACTCTGGTAAGAATTACAGGTGTACCTTAACTCTGGTAAGAATTACAGGTGTATCTTAGCGCTGGTAAGAATTACAGGTGTACCTTAACTCTGGTAAGAATTACAGGTGTACCTTAACTCTGGTAAGAATTACAGGTGTACCTTAACTCTGGTAAGAATTACAGGTGTACCTTAACTCTGGTAAGAATTACAGGTGTACCTTAACTCTGGTAAGAATTACAGGTGTATCTTAACTCGAGTAAGAATTACACGTGTACCTTATCTCAAGTAAAAATTACATCTTTACCTTAACTCTGGTAAGAATTACAGGTGTACCTTAACTCTGGTAAGAATTACAGGTGTACCTTAACTCTGGTATACCTTATCTCTGGTAAGAATTACAGGTGAACCTTAACTCTGGTAAGAATTACAGGTGTACCTAAACTCTGGTAAGAATTACAGGTGTACCTTAACTCTGGTAAGAATTTCATGTGTACCTTAACTCTGGTAAGAATTACAGGTGTATCTTAACTCTGGTAAGAATTACAGGTGTACCTTAACTCTGGTAAGAATTACAGGTGTACCTTAACTCTGGTAAGAATTACAGGTGTACCTTAACTCTGGTAAGAATTTCATGTGTACCTTAACTCTGGTAAGAATTACAGGTGTACCTTAACTCTGGTAAGAATTACAGGTGTACCTTAACTCTGGTAAGAATTACAGGTGTACCTTAACTCTGGTAAGAATTACACGTGTACCTTAACTCTGGTAAGAATTACAGGTGTACCTTAACTCTGGTAAGAATTACAGGTGTACCTTTACTCAACTTAAAATCACACCCGTATCTTAACTCTGGTAAGAATTACAGGTGTACCTTAACTCTGGTAAGAATTACAGGTGTACCTTAACTCTGGTAAGAATTACAGGTGTACCTTAACTCTGGTAAGAATTACAGGTGTACCTTAACTCTGGTAAGAATTTCAAGTGTACCTTAACTCTGGTAAGAATTACAGGTGTATCTTTACTCTGGTAAGAATTACAGGCGTACCTTAACTCTGGTAAGAATTACAGGTGTACCTTAACTCTGGTAAGAATTACATGTGTACCTTAACTCTGGTAAGAATTACAGGTGTACCTTAACTCTGGTAAGAATTACAGGTGTACCTTAACTCTGGTAAGAATTACAGGTGTACCTTAACTCTGGTAAGAATTACAGGTGTACCTTAACTCTGGTAAGAATTACATGTGTACCTTAACTCTGGTAAGAATTACAGGTGTACCTTAACTCTGGTAAGAATTACAGGTGTACCTTAACTCTGGTAAGAATTACAGGTGTACCTTAACTCAAGTAAAAATTACAGCTGTACCTTAACTCTGGTAAGAATTACAGGTGTACCTTAACTCTGGTAAGAATTACAGGTGTACCTTAACTCTGGTAAGAATTACAGGTGTACTTAACTCTTGTACCTTAACTCTGGTAAGAATTACAGGTGTATCTTAACTCTGGTAAGAATTACAGGTGTACCTTAACTCTGGTAAGAATTACAGGTGTATCTTAACTCTGGTAAGAATTACAGGTGTACCTTAACTCTGGTATACCTTATCTCTGGTAAGAATTACAGGTGAACCTTAACTCTAGTAAGAATTACAGGTGTATCTTAACTCTGGTAAGAATTACAGGTGTACCTTAACTCTAGTAAGAATTACAGGTGTATCTTAACTCTGGTAAGAATTACAGGTGTACCTTAACTCTGGTAAGAATTACAGGTGTACCTTAACTCTGGTAAGAATTACAGGTGTACCTTAACTCTGGTAAGAATTACTGTACACTCTGGTAAGAATACCTTACCTTAACTCTGGTAAGAATTACAGGTGTACCTTAACTCAACTAAAAATAACACCTGTAGCTTAACTCTGGTAAGAATTACAGGTGTACCTTAACTCTGGTAAGAATTACAGGTGTACCTTATCTCTGGTAAGAATTACAGGTGTACCTTAACTCTGGTAAGAATTACAGGTGTACCTTAACTCAAGTAAAAACTACACCTGTACCTTTACTCAACTTAAAATCACACCTGTACCTTAACTCTGGTAAGAATTACACGTGTACCTTAACTCTGGTAAGAATTACAGGTGTACCTTAACTCTCTGGTAAGAATTACAGGTGTACCTTAACTCTGGTAAGAATTACAGGTGTACCTTAACTCTGGTAAGAATTACAGGTGTACCTTAACTCTGGTAAGAATTACAGGTGTACCTTAACTCTGGTAAGAATTACACGTGTACCTTAACTCTGGTAAGAATTACAGGTGTACCTTAACTCTGGTAAGAATTTCATGTGTACCTTAACTCTGGTAAGAATTACCTTATCTCTGGTAAGAATTACAGGTGTACCTTAACTCTGGTAAGAATTACAGGTGTACCTTAACTCTGGTAAGAATTACAGGTGTACCTTAACTCTGGTAAGAATTACACTCTGGTGTACCTTAACTCTGGTAAGAATTACAGGTGTACCTTAACTCTGGTAAGAATTACAGGTGTACCTTAACTAACTGGTAAGAATTACAGGTGTACCTTAACTCTGGTAAGAATTACAGGTGTACCTTAACTTGGTAAGAATTACAGGTGTACCTTAACTCTGGTAAGAATTACAGGTGTACCTTAACTCTGGTAAGAATTACAGGTGTACCTTAACTCTGGTAAGAATTACAGGTGTACCTTAACTCTGGTAAGAATTTCATGTGTACCTTAACTCTGGTAAGAATTACAGGTGTACCTTAACTCTGGTAAGAATTACATGTGTACCTTAACTTAAAATCATACCTGTACCTTAACTCTGGTAAGAATTACAGGTGTACCTTAACTCTGGTAAGAATTACAGGTGTACCTTAACTCTGGTAAGAATTACAGGTGTACCTTAACTCTGGTAAGAATTACAGGTGTATAACCTGTGTACCTTATCTCTGGTAAGAATTACAGGTGTACCTTAACTCTGGTAAGAATTACAGG